GCACAATACATGGAAACACCTGCGGCACATTCCACTGCCGTATCGAGCTCGGATACAATTTTAAAGGGCATAGAAACTTTTTTTAACACGCTCCAACGTATTCTTTCACATTTCCTTCCTTTTTTTTACAACTTTTTTGTTACCTCACGAAAATTGGAGTCCCCCAGGCTTATAGAAGCAGCCGCGATTCCGGCCCTTGTTCAATCTATACAGAAGCCGACGCTTCTCCATTTTTTTCCACCACCCTTGTCTTTCTTTAGCAAGACGTGGACAAGTATATCAAAACCAAGGCGCGGAGGATACGACAAACAAAAGAGCTGACACGCTTCGTACCCACGATTGATCTGCGTATGCACCACATTCTTTCTCTTTTCTTACGTCGAGCTCGTTCATTCTTTTTCCTCGGTGTTTCTTTCGTCATTTTTTCACGTTCATGCGCTCACAACCCGTATAATGACTTAGCAAGAAAACTTTATAAATGAAACAGTGCAAATTCCATCAACCTGATCGATATACCGTCTTCTCGTGGCTACTCCTCGGTCCCTCTTTTATCCTTTACGCCAGCCCCTGTACTCTGATTTCTTTAACATCGCTTGTTTTTCTTTGTTTACTCTTGCTATCTGTTGCTGTTTTCTCGGCACTGCCACTACGTGCGGCTCTGCCGTGCAGTGAAACCGGCGGATATACACTCGGAACGCCAAAACTATGACGGATTGGGTGTGAAGGCGGTAAATTTCGTTGACCAGTCTTCGTGAAACGCGCCGGTCGATGCAGCCTCGTGTGTAGCGAAGGCCCCGTCTATAGCCCATGTCTTCGACGTCTCGTCTATGCTACCGCGGCGCGTCTGGCGCGAGGTGCCGGCTTGGCGGCGGCCGCTCAATATTTGGCAGCGGTGAGATCGAAATCGAATCTCTTACCTTTCCCCTCTCCATGGCGCCTCTCTTTCCTCGCCCTTAGACCTACATTTCGCACGAAAAAAGAAAAATTATCCACCAACTTACGCCCTCCTGTTCACGCATGTATAGCTGAAAAAGGGGTATCCCTAAAAAGCGGACGTCAATTTAATACATTCCTACTTCATTTCGTTTCAAGGATTAGGTAAGACGAGAGAAAAGTGACCTTAGTCACTTTAGGAGAAGCCGAACCTCCCTGATGTATAGAAAGCAGCGAAAATATGGCGGTGACCGATCAGTGAACATACATACGGCATGAAATGTTTTGCTCAGCACAAGTGACCATATCCATGAACAACTATGCTATGCAAACAGACTATAATACAGGCAAGCAGCTTTTTGTGGTCCAAATTATGCGTGGCGGGCGCGTGTCTAGATCTCTCGTGTTATCGTTGTTAACCGACTGATTACAAATAACAAGCTTGAGTGAGAGAAAGCTGAGGTAGTTGGCAGATCATCATCACCGCCACCATAATCATCGTCATCAGCCTGACTGCGCCAACGTGCAGGGCAAAGGCCTCTCCCGTGTTCCGCCAATCAACTCGCTCTCGTGCTTGCTGTGGCCGCATTACACCCGAGAACATCATAATCTCATTTGTCCGCCCCAGTTATCTGTCTGCCCCTCGCGCGTTTGCCTTATCTTTGAATGTATAGTCTGTTACCGTTAACGACCAGAGGTTGTCCTGCCTACGCGCTACGTGCCAGATGCATTTCTTCAACCTCTTATCTTTAAAATTAGGTATCGCCCGTTTCGTAGCCCATCCCCCGCGGTGGATTGCATCAGGTCTTTAGGGCATAAACAACCGACCAACCATTTCATAAAAAAAAAATTGATCTCCAAGGAGTGGATGATGGTGAGGCGGCTGAAGCTCCGGAGGTTTTTCGGTGATACCGAGAGTCCTCCGAGTAGCAGCATCCGGGTCCGCCCGTTGCCGCGAGTGCTTCACCGCCGCTTTCCGCTCTCGCATTCCAGGGCCCGCTTCTCGATGCGCCTGTTTCGGTGCGGCTTCTTTGGCGTGCACCGGGATCCGCTTCTTGTTGCGCCCGTTTCGCAGCGGCGCGTCCTTGGCACGCACCGTCTCGGGATCCTCCCGGCGCCGCGCTCGCTTGGCGGCAGCCTTTCGAGCCATCAAGCGTGATCCAAGAAAATTCGGGAGAACACAAACACCGACTAACAACTAAAAGGGCGTACAGTGGCGGTGAAGGAAGTAGACGCAGTTACATTTTACAGTGAAAGATGTTGTCAGATCACAACTCGGGCCTCACGCAGCGCCGTAGTTGTCCGCCGTGGCGTTTGTGTTCTAACTACTTTTCTCTCGTGGCCGTGTTTGCACACCTACAGTCTTTTATGACATACGAGAAGGTACAGGCTATAAGAGAGCGGGAGAGAGAAATGCTGAAATGCATATTTTAATGACATAATAGTGGAGATGTTAGCCTGAATGACCCGCTGACTCCCCACTCGTGCTGCCGCATACAGAGATCAATCACAATGTGCACTGTTGTCTTTTCATCCACTTTACTTACTTCGCACCTGTATCACGATTACTAGTGTATACACTTAAAACGGTTCAACTAAGGTCTCCTACACTTTCCTTGGTTTCATCAACTGCTGTTCATCAACTGCTATTCACGTTGTGTCAAGCAACGAGACGAGACCTAACAATTCGCTTTCTTCAGTTATTGTACATAACAGCCCTATGACGTCTGCTATGCATTTCTGCAGATGAATGAAAATCGAAGGGGCGTTGCGCAACAAGCTTGCTTCGAGGTTTCGTACCAGAACTCCCCTTTCGCAATACATCGTATCAAATCTCTTCAACGGTATTTTCGCGCAATACGCAAGAAAACCACGTATAGGGTACTTTAGGCTAAGTCATAATTATCCAGAAAAATCCTGTACTAGTTTAATCACACCCTAAATGTAGACGACTTGTAGGATAGCGATGATGTCAAAGGGCGGCAGTTTTAGGGAACGCAATCACGCAGACCTGTTTCGCAAGTGTCTCCCGAAAATGGATCACTCGGGGTTTGTCGAACGACCGTACAGCTCATGCCTCATTGTTTTACTCGGCAAAAAAAGTGATAAATAAATAATGCTAATGGGACGAACAAAAACGACCATCCAGCCAGCACGAGTGGGAGAGGAGGCTTAAACAGGCGGTTAGCTTTCCCCATCCAACGCAGTCAGTACTGTTCGCAGTCGCTTATCCAGACCGAGTTCAATGGAGGAAGAGAGACTTTTAAATTCGGCTGCACTCTAGTGCTGTTCGCAGCGAACTAGGACAAAAGAGGACGTCGCTTGTCTGAGAGAGAAGGTGGTGTTGGCACGTGGCGCTCGTAGACACTGAGTGAACCAGGCCGCCATCCACAAACGAGCAGCACACAAAATATATGGTGGCGGCGGAAAGAGTTGCAGCCACCAGAAGCGGGGAAGCGCGCGGGACGGTTCCTCAATAATTCATCGTTTACCGCATTTCGCGCACCGCAAAATGGCACCGCGCGCTCCGAGCGTTTATTCGCGTACAGGCACTGCGTACTTGGGGCAAGAGCGTTCCGATCCGCCGCCATGGCTCTCCCTCTCTTTACTCTGCAATAGGAACAAAACCCTCTCTCGCTCGCTTCTCCGCCAAAACTGGAAGTCGTTTTTCTTGCTGAAACATACGCGCCCGGGCGCCATCTTTCTTCCAGATCTTCGGCATACACCTGTGGAAGGGGGCGTGTGGGCCCGCAGCAACGGCAATGAATGGAAAGTGGGGGTTGGAATGAAGAGGGGGGGGGGGAGAGAAAAACCGAGCTTGCTTAATGAACGATCCTAGTTTCTAACTCGGCAAACGCTACCTGCCCCGCAGGGAATCGAAGGAGAAAAGATCAAGGGAAATGAAGTAAACTGAAAAAAGAAACGCGTATCTATCCCACTCGATCGTGCCGCACCGAAGTTCTCGCGTGGAGCAAGAACACTCTGGTTTGCCGCTGCGCAACAACGAAACGACGGGCATAACGAGCAGGTAGGGACTCGAAAGGCAGCCGCCGCCCGAGTCCTCGGGAGCAGGTACGCGAGAGGTAACATATATAAGGCACGCCGGTTGCGCTCGCCTTTTCCGAGTGCCTTGGTGTTGCTTTTTCCCGCGCGTCACACGAAAGTGCGCGCGTGTACTTCTTGAAGCGGCCGCCGCCTATCTGTCTTTCTTTCTTTCTTACCGCTCTCCAGTCACTACAGACTATCTATCTATCTACCTATCTATCTATCTATCTATCTATCTATCTATCTATCTATCTATCTATCTATCTGTCTGTCTGTCTGTCTGTCTGTCTGTCTATCTATATATCTATTTATCTATCTATCTATCTATCTATCTATCTATCTATCTATCTATCTATCTTTCTTTCTATCTATCTATCTACTGCTTCCATACCTAAACAACGGTCGCTTTTCACTCCATCGCGTGAAATGGCGCCATACTCATCTTCAGCCTGCTGCTTCGCGCTCATTCTCTTCTCCTGTTTGCCTCCTCGTGCTTCCACTCCTTCAGTACCTCTTATAATCTGACTGCCGCCATCGATATGCCGCTAATTACACCAGCGACTCATTACGGGCTTCGTTTTGTGTGTTGCACGCTTGCCCGCCGTGCGAGCACGCGCCACCACTGCTGCAGTCCGGATGTATAATTAAACCTAAGGCGTGCTATTCTGCGCGGGAAACACATCTGTGCGTACGTACATCGCCTTTTATATTGTACACCGTCCGGTGCTCTCGCTCTTTCTACTTGATTACCCTACTAGGATTCCACCATCATATTTTCTTTCTGGTTCTCTCTCTAGCGCGATTCATCCGACGGGCAAACTCGTGCTGCGGTTTAATGAATGAGGCTTCCATCGAGAATGAACAAAACTAGAAAGTAAAGAGAGGAAAACAAAAAAAAGGTATCCGGTTTATCTCGGCGAAATTTCCGTGATGAAGTGTCCGATTGTTAACTATAGACTGGCTGTGTAGTCTCCCATTCCTCTGGAAACCAGTGCCTGATATTTCTCCTCTTTTACTTTCAGGACGAAAAAAGCCAGACAATCTCGACGAACTGCAGGCTGACGCAGGTTGGTTGATACCCACCTGTGCTTCTTCCTTTCTTTTTTCTTTTTTCCCTTAATGTTGCACTTCATCTTCTCCCTAATACTGCCGACACACGCGCTCACTGCGCCAACGATAGTCCCGGTTTTGTTGCTCTGGATGGCAATTTGGCGTGCAGGCACCACATTTGCCGATTCGGCATCTCAGTGGCTCGTATTTTCTGCGCAGGCGTTGTTGTTTGCCTCGGTTTTGATGTAACTGCCTGCTTCCACGCTCGACGGTGAACTTTAATGTCCGGACGTTGAAGCGTCCTGCGTTGTTCGGACTCATAGAGGTAAACAAGCGCGCGTTCACAAGACGTTTCTTTCTATAGTTAGCATTAAGCGTTCTTTCGGCTGCTATACCTTAAGCAAAGCAAAAGTGATTGGAAGCGGTTAAAGGCAGTCACCGCAGCTCTTCGCACAAGAGAGACAAAATGCGTATAAAACAGCGTTTAAAAGTGTAGAATAATGACGCTTGATGCATCCTGGTGTAATGTGCATGCACTGCGCACGCATCTCGAAACAGCGTGATTGCGTATCATATTTGAAGCGCTCTGACGACAGCCAGTTTGATGGTTCATACGTGGAAGCATCAGGCAACATTAAAAGTGCGACAATGGCCATAATGATCTAATATGAATTACTCAAGTCTGGTGAGTACCATGTCGCCTGTTGAAATAGCGAGGGAGTAACGGTTCCTTTTTGTCGGAGAAACTGCATGTCCCATGCTCATTTCCAATCGAGAGATCTCGCTCTAAGAGTGTTTCCTGTTGTATGCTTCCTTTATACGTAGCTCGAGTGACTGTACCATATCAAGCGATAAGGGAAAGCTTATTAAATGACAGTTATGCTTGGTAATATATCTACCGAGCAAGAACAGCACAAGATTTAGTTTTTTTTTTCTAGCTCGTGGGACGTACAATAGAGTGGTGTGTCACAGCATCCCATTATGTGCCATAAAGCCAACATAGTGGCGATGACAGGAAAGTTCGCCGCAGTCATCGACTACGATCATCGTAACCATTAAGTGTCATCACTGACAAACTTTCCTGTGATATATGATACATTACCATCGATCAATCTTTCCGTTGGTTATTCGCACAAAAGACAGGCTCACGATTTTCTCACTGTGCCTTCAATAATCAGCAACCTACTTTTTGACGCCAGATACTGTCGGTCAGCTCAGTCAGTCAGCTATTCAATGAAAATTAATACAGAAAGGTTTCGCGTGCGTTGAAGCTCAACGACAATATCCAACACTTTATCTACCACCACGGTTATTAAGTTGTTTTCACCTCATTAATACTGTGTATGTAAGGAAGCCATCTTTCAAACCTCCTTGCTGAGCCGATATTTTGTGCGTTGCTCGTAGCTATGCCGTGTTTTTGTCAGCACGTCGTAAGCTTTCGTCGCACTGTGCTTCACAGCGGTGGACAGACGCTCACCTCAAGTGGAACGCATCGGACTTCGGTGGAATTGGCGTGCTGCGCATTCCATCTGCGCAAGTCTGGAAGCCGGACCTGGTCCTCTATAACAAGTAAGAGAAGGTTAACATAACGCATTTTAACGACCAGGCATTTCGGAAATAGCAACTGTAACATTTAGAAATCACTGTTGTGGCTAATATTTCTATCCTCTCGTGACTACATGCCCTTGAAAGCCAGAAACAGAATGGGGTGCGCAAAGATATCAATTGCAGCTCTAGAAAATCTTGGTACCTGAAGGCTAAGCCGTTTGTTCACTCAGTGACTGGCTGTGAGGAGCTTAGGCGGCGGCACAGCAAGCAGTGGGGCCGTTTTAATCCTTGAGCATGACTGGCTTAAAATGAGCCTCTCTTGTGTGACGAGAGCGACTCATCGGTAAAGAAGGGCGTTGTAAAAACGACTTATTAGCGAGCCATAGTAATGTCTAGTTTGCTACCCTACACATGGGCTGGGGAATAATTGACTAAAAAGAGAGAATAAATGTCTCATGTCACACATGCACAGGCGGTAGCTCAATGCTGTTTGTCCTCAAGTACGGCAAAAGGGCTTGTGTGGCTTCCTGGTCTGCTGTGCTGTGAGACCAGACTCCCAAATTTTCTCTACAGTAAAGGTCCGATCATTGAGTGTCCTCAAGGCACTCTGGAGACAAAAAGAGAGCGACAAAAAACGAGCGCTGGCCCAGCTCGTTCAACCAAAGTTTGCAAAACCATAAGCTTGGGCGAGTTGCTGATGCAGACTTGGGTGCAGCGCGAAATAGACAGGAGCAGGTGAGTAAGCGTAACATGGCAAGTAAACAGAACAACGCCGTCCCTTTTATACTCGTCCGCGTCTTGTGTTCCTTGCACTGCACCCAACAAAAAAACAAAGTTTACAGACAGCGCTCGTCTTCTTCTGTTGCCCACTGTGTCTTTGTCCCTTGTGTAAGTTCGCACTGCAACAAATCGTAGGTCTTTTTGGGAATTTGCAATAATGATTACTAACGGACTTTTTCAATGTGCCAGAATGATCAGTTCCCCTAGATGAATGAATGCCAACAACTATCATATAGGCAAAAGCCGTAATCAATTGGTGTCGCAGTCGTCAATAACGCGTGCGTGTGTACTAGCATTCTTTATAGTATCTTAGGTTCATCTTCTACGCAAGTATTCGTATACCTACGCAGAGTTCATTCTCGCAGCGCACGTGGCGACTACCACGCTGGACACCTGGGCAGCAACGTGATCGTGCGATGGACAGGCGAAGTTCTGTTCCCGGTGCAGGCGGTGTTGTCGAGCGCTTGCCGACTGGACTTGCACTACTTCCCGTTCGACGTTCATCTCTGCCAGCTGCAGTTCGTCTCATGGACGTACGACTCGCAACAGGCACGTCGTTCTTGGTTCCACCGATGCGTGGCTTCTTCCTCAGAGAGTGGCTAAGAGTTCACTATGAGTTACAGTCATGACACCATAACTTTTGCATGCTGCGACGGAGGAGTTCCAACTCTGATTTAACGCTGCAATGGGTGAGAAAAACCGAAAAGCAAGGAAGCTATTGAAACTGCACACGAATTAAACAAGTTCATTCGCTTCTACTTTTATTCAAGAATATCGTCTCACGAAGAGGCTGTACACAATAATAAACTCGGCTCTTTAGCATCTTTTTTTTCGTTCTATCGACCAAATGAAATAAAGAAATTATGCTTACTTTAATGACTTCTGCCACTGTAGATTACTCTAATAAGCATCGAATTTGCAGGCAATCATTTAACAGCTGAGCTGTTATGCCCAACGTTTGTCCGATTCACACCGTAGACAAGAGGCAATAATCACCATGCCGATGCACTCTCTCTTTAACATCTTCTTATCACTCCGCGAACAGGTGCACCTGGCCAATTTGTCCGGCATGGCACGCAGTAACTAGGATGAGTGGGACAACAAGCACAGGAGGAGCGAGAAAGAGAGATGGAGGGAAACAAAATGAAGGAAGAAAAAAAGATGGAAAGAATAAATTAGAGAGATAGAAATAGATAGAAACAGACACAAAGAAAGACAAAGAGAAAGCAGGGATTAGAACAGAAAGAGAAATAAAAATAGAAAGAGAGAATAACAAAGAATTAAAAATAAAGAGGGAGAGAGAAAGAGATAGATAGAGCAAAGGAGAAATAGATGGCTCAGTAAGCTTCTCGGTGGTGTGATCGCCAAGTGATTCCCAAGCGAACCCGATTGATACCTATCCAGTACTCGTGATTTACAATTTGACCACGTGGACACTTCATGCATCGGCGTGTGAATTCACGTGTGCCTTTTGTCAAGCTCGTACCAGCCGATTGTTGACCAGCTCTGTTTTGACACGGCCTTGCAAGACTCGGTGCAAAATACGCTATTCTTTTTATCCGTCCGTCCGTCCATCCGTCCGTCCGTCCGTCCGTCCGTCTGTCTGTCTGTCTGTCTGTCTGTCTGTCTGTCTGTCTGTCTGTCTGTCTGTCTGTCTGTGTGTCTGTCTGTCTGTCTGTCTGTCTGTCTGTCTGTCTGTCTGTCTGTCTGTCTGTCTGTCTGTCTGTCTGTCTGTCTGTCTGTCTGTCTGTCTGTCTGTCTGTCTGTCTGTCTGTCTTGGCTTCTTTCCTCTTTATTCAAGTCCACTTTCCACGGTGGCAAGACACCGTGGAAAGTGGACATAATTATGTCCACTTTCCACGGTTGTCTTGCCTTCTGTCATCATCGTTTTCCTTTACCCTTTCACATCTGCACAGGGGAAGCACGAACCTAACCTATACACGTCTTTCCTTTTCTTTCTTTTCTCCGCGAAGGTTGAGCTATTTTTATTCGTACTATCGACCAACCGAAATAAAGGAATTATACTTACTTTAATGACTTCTGCAACTGTTGATAACTCCAATAAGCATCGACTTTGCAGGCAATCATTTAACAGCTCAGCTGTTATGCCCAACATTTGTCCGATATATATGTATATGTATATATATATATATATATATATATATATATATATATATATATATATATATATATATATATATATATATATATATATATTAGATCTAACAGACAGTAATGCCAAGGAATGTACAGGGGAAGTTATTAGAACCAATGGAATGTAAATAAGAAGAAAGAAAAGTGGATGAAAAAATAACCAGCCGTGAGCAGGAATCGAACATACGACCTTCGAATAACGCGTTCGATGCTCTAACCGCTGAGCTACCACAGCGGCCTCCCCTCCATGCACTTTTTTGGGTCTATATGTGAATTTAGAAGTAGGAGTGATAGTCAGCGCCATCTATAAGCCAAATGACGAGTATACCGGCCAGACTACCGACGGTCTGGGCCGCTTTCTCAAGCACGGCGAGTTCGAGCTGCTCGAGATGACCGTCGCGCAGCAGGCGCACCCGCCGCCGGACGCCTCGACCGCGGCAGCTTCGACGTCCCACCGCCGCGGGCGAAGAGGGCGACGGCCTGGCGGCGGCGCCTCAGTACCGGGGCGTCACGTACACCCTGAGACTTCGCCGGCGACCGGGGTCGCAGCTGCTGCACCTGGTGCTGCCGTGCGTGGTGGTGAACGCACTGGCCCTTCTAGGCTTCCTGGTGCCCTGCGAGTCCGGCGAGAAGGTGACGCTGGGCATCAACACGCTGCTCTGTCTGGCCGTCTTCCTGGTCGTGGTGCGCGACAGCCTGCCGCCCGCCGCCTCGGTGCCCTTGCTCAGTGAGTGGTCGCTACGTCACAGATGTCACACAAGTGCATTGGCAGTTCGTGCTGACGTTTGCTAATACTAACGAGCAATATGCAGAAAGACTAACGTTTGTGCCCACGGTGGCTGGTTGGTGCACGTATAGGGATAAAAGAAGGAGAAACATCAGAGCTGTGTCTTTTTTTTTTCTTTTGCCCCCATCTGTGTGCGCTACAACGCTTCTAACTTTTGTGCATTTCAATCAGGTGTTTTGTATCGAGAGGAAAGTCGTTAACAATGTGTAATTAAGGCCAGACAATCAGACTAAATAAATGACCCTCGAGGTCGAGTTTGTGCGAGCTGGTTTGCTAGCGTGCAGTTGGTATGGGAGGAGCGAAAGAGGACCCCCACGCAAGCGCTCCGTACAGATGATTAACCAGCGAATCTGAAACGTGCAGCCATCGGCGGTCGCAGATGAAGACGAAGTGCCTCACGAGACACTCCCGCCGAATGCGGGCGTCGGCTCCGGCGAGCGCTTTCGCGACATTGCCACGTTGACGCTGATCTGCCAGCAATGTCGTTTCCTCGACTCGCCGATGTCGCTTGTATTCGGCTCGGGGGGCTGCCGCATACTCGGAGCGCAGTTGCCGTTTGCGCGTCGCCACATGGGCCTGCTCTTGTGCGCCGGACTGCTGCATTGGCCCGGCGAACGTGAATATTATCACGTATCAGCTGTCGGCGCTGTTGTTGGAAAGTCATATGCTGTTCGGGCGTTCGTACGATCCGTGCCCTCGCCGTGTGAAAGTTGTAAATTGAGTGTGCAGCGCGCGGGCTCGGTGGCATGGCTGCGAAGGGATAAATTTTGTCAATGAAGGCGCAGCCAATGACGCGCGTGCTTTGGTGCGACGCAAAGAATGACGTCACTAACGGCGCTGCCAATGGCGCACGTGCTTGGTTGCGACATGGGTTATGACGTAACTGACAGCGCAGCCAATGTAGACTGTTATCGTTTCTTGTGGAAAAGGGTTTCTGGTTTCGCCTAGCCATACAGCTTACTTTTCTTACTTTTACAGCTTTCGCTGTAAAAGTAAGAAGAACGAAGCGAACAAGAAAATTATCAATATGTATCTATGAAAGACCGCATTTTCTCAATGTCACTCATGTATATGCCAACGATGAAGGCTATTTCTACTCCGCCACAATTGTTGGAGTACATTAGCCCGATTTTGCCGCGAAAGCAATTTGTCTGTACAAAAAAGCGCTAGAGAACCCGAGAGGGTCCCTAATGCGTGAGGACGTCATAGCGTTGGTGCACAACAGCCTTGCTAGTCCAGCCTTTGTCCTTTGCACCTCTCTTCTTATGCTGTCGTCTCAACGTGCTGAAACCCTTCACTTTGTCGTGTACTAACTGGTCCAGAAAACCACACTTCTGAGTGCATGTCACACCTACGCAGGCGTCTATTACGGCCTCAGCACGTGCGTGGTGGCGTGCACGACGGCGCTGAGTGTGGTGACGCTCAGTCTGCACCACCGAGGTTCCAGGGGTGCCGAGGTTCCGCGCGGTCTGCGCCGGCTTGTGCTGGGATTTCTGGCCCGACTGCTGCTACTAGGCTGCTGCGGATCTAGTAGCGACGAACGAAAGGTATTGTACTCTAGGGAACAGAAATATTCTAGCCAGGACATAGGCATCACATCTGGCATTTAATACAGGCTCTATTTAAGCGCGATGAATAATTGCTTTCGCCCACGTCGTAAAAGCTGAATTACCAAGTTACGAACAAGAATCTCGCGCCACGGTAACTTGTGACCAGTGAGTATACACGTGCACGTATTGTGAATGCACATGCACTAAAATTCACGTACCCTATTCCGGAATAATAATAATTTAAGGCGTTTAACGTCCCAAAACTACCTTATGATTATGAAAGACGCCGTAGTGGAGGGCTCGGGAAATTTCGACCACCTGGGGTTCTTTAACGTGCACCTAAATATAAGCACACGGGCCTCAAGCATTTACGTCTTCATTTAAATGCAGCCGCCGCGGCAGGGATTCGATCCCGCGACATACGGGTCAGCAGCCAAGTGCCTTAGCCCTGAGACTGCTGTGGCGGGTCCCTGTTCCGGAATAAGATAATAGCACATTATGAGGCTGAGATCATGGGCGCTACCATGCTCTCATCGAGATTGCAAAAATGTGGCGCTCTCTCATGAACTAAGCCATAGAACGCGTGTCTGAGCCAAGCGTGCAACCACTCGCCAGAGCAATCATAGGCCTAAAGAGGATGCACGTCACCGCACTATCTGCTGCAAACAGACAAGGCCCGGGAGTCACATGATCAGGTCTCGGTCGGACTCCGCTTTTTATGTCATTCATGCGCGGATTCGGAGTGGCCGACGAACTGTGTGCCACAGCACTCCACTCTGGTGGAGGGCAACCGAAGGGAATCTACCAATGGAACCCACTCGCTCCCTCTGGAGCTATTGGCAGGATCAGAATGGAACGCGATGTGTGCGTTTCCTTTCTTGCATGAGATGACACGCTGGACACAGCCACTCCATGCTAACAAAACGTCAGCTTCGACTTGAGGCGCGGCTGACGTTACCAGCGAACATCGACGCGCCAACAGTGCGCACAGTTCCAGGGCACGGGCCGTTGTGACTTCCGGTCGAATCCGTCGCTTTTTGCGGAGTAGAAAAAGTGGTTCCGTGGAGTGGATAGCGTGACGGAGCTGATCCGGATGTGTCAATGGAAGCACATTGTCAAGCACAATGTCAAGCACAATGTCAAGCACATTCTCAATCTGGCAATGGAACCTACTTTAGCGCACGGAGCAGGGAAAGTGCTACCGGAAGGGCTTCGGATATGCCAATGGATGAGACCATCAAAGCGCCTCAGGGTGCTCTAACATTGAGCGTGGTGTTCTGAAAGAACCGGCCGAAAGTATTGTGTTGTGAGAGATAATGCTAGGGTTTTGAAGTCTACTTTAAGAAGGCGACAGCTTTGAGCCATAGCAGTGAACTACCTTCCGTGGCACGTTACAAAGCAGACAATCTTCACTAATTGTGCATGCGTGTGGTCATTTGAGAGCACGTTGACCGTTTTGAGAGTAGTGAATCATCATCATCATCATCATCATCATCATCATCATCATCATCAGCCTGACTACGTCCACTGCAGGACAAAGGCCTCTCCCATGTTCTGCCAGTTAACCCGGTCCTGTGCTTGCTGCTGCCATTTATACCCGCAACTTCTTAATATCATCTGCCCACCTAACCTTCTGTCTCCCCCTAACCCGCTTCCCTACTCTGGGAACTCCAGTTAGTTACCCTTAATGACCAGCGGTTATCCTGTCCTACGCGCTACATGCCCGGCCCATGTCCATTTCCTCTTCTTTATTTCAACTATGATATCCTTACCCCCGTTTGTCCCGTAATCCACTCTGCTCTCTTCTTGTCTCTTAGGTTACACCTGCCATTTTCTTTCCATGGCTCGCTGCGTCGTCCTCAATTTAAGCTGACCTCTTTGTAAGTCTCCAGATTTCAGCTCCGTCGCTAAGTAGCTGGTATATACCTTCCTCTTGAGGGATGTGGCAATCACCTGTCATAATTTGAGAGTGCTTGCCGAATGTGCTCCTCCCATTCTTATTCTTCTAGTTACTTCAAACTCATGGTTAGGCTCTGCGGTTATTACCTGCCTAAGTAGACATAGTCTTTTACAACTTCAAGGCTCTGCGGTAATTACCTGCCCTAAGTAGACATAGTCTTTTACAACTTCAAGTGCGCTATTACCTATCTCGAAGCGCTGCTCCTTTCCGAGGTTGTTGTACATTACTTTCGTTTTCTGCAGATTAATTTTAAGACCCACCTTTCTGCTCTCCTTGTCTAACTCCGTAATCATGAGTTGTAATTCGTCCCCTGAGTTACTCAGCAATGCAATGTCATCGGCGAAGCGCAAGTTACTAAGGTATTCTCCATTAACTCTTATTCCTAACTGTTCCCATTCTAGGCTTCTGAAAACCTCCTGTAAGCACGCGGTAAATAGCATTGGGGAGATTGTGTCCCCCTGCCTTACACCCTTCTTGATTGATATTCTGTTGCTTTCTTTATGAAGCAATATGGTAGCAGTTGATCCCCTGTAGATTTCTTTCAGAATGTTTATATATACTTCATCTACGCCCTGATTCGTAATCTATGAAGGCTATGTATAGTGGTTAGTTATACTCTGAGCATTTCTCTATAACCTGATTGATAGTATGAATGTGGTCAATTGTTGAGTAGCCTGTTCTAAATCCTGCTTGTTCCTTTGGTTGATTGAATTCTAATGTTTTCTTTACTGTGTTAGAAATTATCTTTGTAAATAGCTTGTATACTACAGAGAGCAAGCTGATCGGCCTGTAATTCTTCAAGTCCTTGTCATCTCCTTTCTTATGTATTAAGATGATGTTAGCGTTCTTCCAAGACTCTGGTACCCTTCCCGTTAGGAGACACCTCGTAAACAGGGTGGCTAGTTTTCCTAACACAATCTGTCCTCCATCTTTCAGCAGGTCTGATGTTAACTGATCCTCACCAGCAGCTTTTCCTCTTTGCATGCTCTCCAAAGCTTTTCTGACTTCTTCTATCATTACTGGTGGGGTGTCATCTGGGTTACTGCTAGTTCTTAAAGTATTAAGGTCGTGGTTGTCTCGGCTACTGTACAGATCTCTGTAAAACTCCTCCGCTATTTTAACTATCCTATCCATATTGGTAGTTATTTTGCCTTCTTTGTCCCTTAGTGCATACATCCGACTTTCGCCTATCACAAGTTTCCTCTTCACTGCTTTGACGCTTCCTCCAATTTTCAGAGCGTGTTCAATTCTCTCCATGTTATACCTTCTTACATCGCATACCTTACGCCTATTAATCAACTTCGAAAGCTCTGCCAGTTCTGTTTTGTCTGTTGTACTTGAGACTTTCATGATTTGACGCTTCTTAATTAGGTTCTTCGTTTCCTGGGAAAGCTTGCCAGTGTCCTGTCTAACTACCCTGCCTCCAACTTCCACTGCACACTCCGTAATGATACTCGTCAGATTATCATTCATTGTATCTACGCTAAGGTTGGTTTCCGCACTAAGAGCCGAGTACCTGTTCTGCAGCGACACTCTGAATTCCTGTATTTTCCCTCTCAGTGCTAGCTCATTGATTGGCTTCTTGCGTATCAGTTTCTGTCGTTCCTTCTTCAAGTCTAGGCGAATTCGAGACCGTACCATTCTATGGTCACTACATCGTACCTTGCCAACCACTTCCACATCCTTCACGATTCCTGGGTGTGCAGTCATTATAAAGTCTATTTCGTTCTTATTTTCGCCATTAGGGCTCCTCCATGTCCACTTGCGGTTTTCCTCGTTTTCGGTAGAAGGTATTCAAAATCCGCAAATTATTGCGTTCTGCGAATTCTACTAGTAGCTCTCCCCTGGCGTTTCTAGTGCCGATGCCATAATCTCCTACTGCCTGGTCTCCAGCCTGCTTCTTCCCTACCTTTGCATTAATGTCGCCCATCACTATATATATATATATATATATATATATATATATATATATATATATATATATATATATATATATATATATATATATATATATATATATATATATATATATATTAATAGTGATGTGAATACAGTAGTGAATACAGTAGTGATGTACTGAGTAGTGAATACAGCTGTTTTAAAGTATCTTTTAGCCACTTTGCAAGAGACAAACATGGACAAAGCAAGGAGTGAAACGAACAAGTGCTCATTTGTTTCACTTCCCGCTTCCTCCTTATTAGTCTATCGCAAAGTGGCTAAAAGATGAATTCGTTCCAGCTATTGCCGGCTATAGGAGTTTGGCTTGCTTTAAAGCTCTACAAAGAGTACAAACGGTATACGAGTCATGTTCCTCCTTACTTATCATGTATTTACCACCTCATTTTGTACTTGTAATGCTTACTTACTCCCGCTCATCAACTTTTCAGAGTCGTCGAAGCGCTCTGAAACAACGCTCGAATGTACCACATAGGTCAGCACGTAGAATCAATTGCTCAGCTTTTTTTATATAATTTAGCTCATCTCCTCTTCCACGCGTGCAGTAGCAGACTAGTTTCAGTCCTATTTGACACCCTCGCTTTCCAATCGCCCCTCTTTCTCAATCTCTCTCGCGCACGCAGAACCACCACCAGCGGCACGACTCGTCGCGCGAGTCGAACAAGTCGTCCCGGCTGCAGCCGCCGAGTCCGTCGCTGGACTCGGACAAGCTGGAGCTGGACCACATAGAACGGTACAACTTCTCACCGCGGCTGCGGCATCGCAAGGAGTTCTGCGCCGGACTTGGGAGCATGCTGGGCGGTGGGGTGCCGCCACCTCCAGTGCCCGGGCCCGCAGTCGACGGCTCCTCGGACGAGTTCGAGAAGCAGTTCCTGCGGGTGCTCGCCAAGGTAGGCACACTTGGGTCATGCTCCACGGGTAGAGGTATAGCACGGCAGAGAGAGTACTAAAACAAAATATGTAGATGTCATGCACGCCACATTGTCGACTTAGTTTTGTTTTGTTTTTTGTCAGTTGATGGTATGAAGATTATATGTTAATAAAATTCCAGAATTACATTTAGAAAATGAATGAAATTAAAAACCATATTTTAATATGTTCTGGCATGGCACATCATGTGTAGCGTTCCCAGATCGCAAAAACAAAAAAGGTGGTTCAGTGCGATATCATCCGGTATAATTAGAGATGTTAATGTCTTGTTATGAATGTTAATTCAAACCACCCTTTATGTTTTTTTTTCGTTTGCGTGTTTGTATGCGTGCATATATACATGCACAACTAAATCTTCGGGGGAAGGGGGGGATCGATATCCTCCCCCCTTGCCTGATTACGCCAATGCCTGATAAACACGCATATCGCTTTGTCCACAACGTAATCCGAGTGACGGTGCATTTGTCTGGCGCAGGTGTACCAGACGATCGAGAAGAACGAGCTTCGCGTGGCGGAACGCGACCGACGCGACGCCGTGCGGGGAGAGTGGCATCAAGTGGCCGTCGTGTGCGACCGTTTTCTACTGGCCGCTTTTCTGCTCTCCATCGCCGTGGCCGCCTGCTTGGTGCTCTTTTCCGCAGCACCGCAGCCGAACAGGCCCTGACCGCCGGCATCAAGACGAGTGAGCAAGCTTACCAGTGCTGCAGTGACGGTGTGCCGACGCGCCCGCACCAGTGCTGTTGTTCTGCTGTGGCAGCAACTGTGTATTCATCCACCACCGCCGTCTGTCGCTCTCACCACGCCGTTCCAGAGTGCGAAATGGCGTCGAGGGAACAGCGGCACCTGGGAGCCCCTGGCTTTCTCCCGTCGCCGCGACAGACCTCGCAGGCATCGAGGGATTTGTAACCTTTTGAAAAACGAGCTTGAAGCCGGGTGGCTTGTTAACGCCGACTGAGTATTACCATGGAGTGCGTACTTATAAGTGCTCCACCTTGCAGAATCCGAGTGGTGGCGCAGCTGTTGACACCCGCCATCTCTGTCCTGGCGCGCGATGAACTAGTCCCAGATTTGAACGCCCCTCGAAAGGCAACATCGCTTCCGAAAATTGAGCGTCCGATGTACTCGAAAGATGTTACATTGCAGAACAGTGATACATAGGGTATCTGCTAGGGTGTTTTTTTTTTCCTTTTTGCATATGCAGACAAAGAGCACGTGGTGTTGCATGGAACAAGTAATAGTGTGGAAAGGTCAGAGCTAAGAGATCCGACAAGAGAGGGACGCTTAGCCTGGCTCGGAAGACATCGGGTAAAAATTGTATGCGTCATCTCGTGTTATGTTAAAATGATGACATGAATCGGCAAAGACCATTCTTAATTAAGAAATAACCACACAGGGTGCGCCAGTTAACTTCAGCCAGAGTTTAAAATACGCCGAGGCACTCTATCACGACGCACAAAAATGCATGTTCCTGAATATTGCATGAAGTCACGGTTTTTTTTAGGGGGGGGGGGGGGGGGGCTGTTTTTGTTCAGTTGCCTAATTTGGCAAGAAAAAAATAACCAACATTTGTGGGAACAAAGCTGGGCGAAATATTCAACTTAGAAAGTTCAATATCAGTTTGCGAAACTGATTAGGCAGTTTCTAGCCTTCTATATATTAGGTATTGGTGTTCTGCTTACTACAAATGCCCGCGATATACAAAAATTACTACGTGGCATGGCCGCTTGTGCGCCGTGATTGCAGTGCTCCCTGACATTCCGCGTGAAGGGTTCAAACGGCCATGGTAGCTGAACGGGTGTGCGGTAGCTTACAAGGCGACAGGGCAGCGGCGATGGTGGTGGCGGTGCTATAGCAGCAGCACAAACGATAACCGCTGCGCCTGCTGGTCGCCGTCATGAGCCGTGCCCAGGGAATCGTGAGCAGCCGCACACCATAACCACTGCGGTGGACAGAACTTCAACAAACTCTTTAGTTGCCCGCTTGTTAATTAGTTTTTCTTAACGTTTACGCGACGAAGTGTTTATACATCTTTGATGTGAGAGAAGAGCACGCGTTTTCACGTTTCGAACATGATCTCACGATGCCTGATAGTATCTCTGCTCATGATGTCGCCAAGATTATTGGCGCCACACATTGAGCCGCGGCTGCCAGTTCCAGCAAGTTCAGTAGCGTCGTTGAACGCAGATATTCGCCGTGCTGAACTTTGGCGATCTCATTTTTTACTATTATTATTTAACGGAATGTACGTGTTTGTAAATCACTCTCTTCTATCACTACCAAACAAACCAGCCTCACATCAAGCTCGACTCGGATCAAATGTCATTACGCCTAGCGTGAGTGTGGACAGGTTTGCGAGCTATAAATTGTGTGCCCACTGTTTCTGTATCACTCTCTCCCTATTATCACCCTCACTCTTCCATCTCAACACAGTGTAACCCACGTGGGGTAAACCAAAAGGGCATTTATAACGACGCGGCTTGAGCTGCATCCCTAAGCATGCGGTGCGTCGAGTCGCGGAAAGCTGTTTTTCATCGTGACCTCTGCGCTCCCAGCTTCGGCCACTTGACGAGCTTTCGCTATACGTCTGTTCTCTTACATTATTTTAATTTTTTTTTTCATTTTCTACTACCACGTCGATGACGGATATTCCGCGCTCAAGCGCCGTCTACGCTCACACCGTACTTGCTCAGCACTGCCTCAGGACGACTTGTGGTTTCTTGCAAGCGCTCGAGGACGAGTATATTGTAATGGCACGTTGGTACATTCCTTGACGGGAGAATCAATCATAACTGTGTCGCGCCCATTGTGTATAAGGACCTACAAGACCTTGCAAAATCAGAACCCTCGCGTTCCTTCAGTAACGTTCCGAAAGATGTGTGCATGTGGGCCACACTATAGCAGACCGAGAGTCGGACCAATATGCGGCCACAAAACGCCACTCACGCTTTTCTAATTTTAGATGCCTCTATCAAAGGCGAAGATGAACCGTATAGGCGTCGTCAACGCGAGGATTCTTAAAAATCATCACGTGATGATGTCATGATATAGCATCACCATGACTTCATATATCGCCAAAGTTTGGAAAGCCATTAACGTCGCATGATGACGTCATCACATGACATCGTCAAATATGGGCCGCTCACGGAGGCTGTGCAAGACCAATTGAGGTGCGCGAGTCTTGCAATACCTCGGGTCTTGGAGGGAATGCTAAAAGCTTTCGTAGGGTAACGTGGGGATGAAAGAGGCAAATAAGCTCCTGTATTCCCTGCCCCTCGCAATATGGTTCCTGCTCCTGCACCCAAGAAGCGCAAAGTCAGTGCGCGCACTTCTATAGTCTATCTTCTGTAAGACATATGGGCAACGCCATCTTGGGCTGGTAAGCCCATGTTTTTTTTTTTTTTTGTATATCGCGAAGTGAAACAATGAAGCTATCAAACGTCGTATGTACCCACCCAGCCGTATTCTTGCGTACGCATCTATCTTAACACTGTTCGTTTAGTTGTTGTAGATACAAAACATGATGGTTAACGACCCAATATGGCGGCCCTCACATCCACTCATAAAATAGCCTACATTCCTGGACGAGCAGGGAAAATGCTGGAACGGCTGTTACGCTCGTAAGAATCCTATAAAACGCTTTCCGTGGTGTTTTAGTACCTTTAAATAATTTTCGACCTCATAAAACATAAAATTGATAAAATAGATCGTAATAGATAATAAAAAACGAGAAATTATTGCATGGCGCAGAAACAGTTATGATATAAAGCTGTAAATTATTATTAGATTTTGCTGCCAGGTGACCAGAAAGTAAGAACAAAAACTAAATAAATACAGAATTCCTGTTTTTTTTTTAGTGCCTTATCTATTGTAGTCATATGTCATTGGATGTTAAATATTGGAGAAGTAATAATGCTAAAAAAAATAAGTGGCAGGGAAGGTTCTGCTTGTCAACTCGGGATCAGTGAGAATATTGTAGCAGTTCAGGTGTCGTTACAGGGAATTAACATCCCCAGGTTGTACTTATGATGACAACAGCAGCTTTCAAGAAAAAAAGACAACGTTCAAACGTAAACATAGGGCATCAAGCGTTGGAACATAAACGTTTCCAACTGACTCACTTAAGCAATAGGACTGTCGACTTATGCCGTGTTTCTTCTTTTGAACAATGGTGAGAACTCTCCTTTCGTAGTCTCGACACACAATAAATAGCAAAATTTCTGCCGCACATGTCGGATTCTCTGTCTGCTATAACTCCTTGTTTTTTTTTTTTAATTGCGTTCCAGTGCGACGGCTTTTATATTCGCGATGGTTGTGTGGTTAAAGGTGGTGCACTTAACGACAGGCATTCGTTCAAATTCATTTGTGTAGTTTTGTGTTAAGCACGTCGTACTAGTCCAGGTGTCCCCCCATTGATACGAAAGCGATTCAGCGTGGTAATAGTTTTCATTTCTAGCACTTTGTTTAAGAGAGATTTCATTAACGCGCTTTCGCTGAATCGTTCGCACAGAGTTTAAAAAGCACGTAACAAAATTGCACGTTGTAAATATGAAACTGTTTTCCTCTTACATGAGTGCACATAGCTATGCGCGTCTGTGTTATTTCTCTGTTTGGATCGACTGACTATCACACACCGCACGTCACGCCTATGCACTAATCTGCACAAACTTAAGACGTAGGCGACGTCATATAACTACGTCACGCTATGTAATTAATTAAAGCGCACCAATACGCACGTTTAACCTTTACTGTTTATTGTTATTCCACACCAGTTTTCAAAAATACAAGAGAAGCATGCACGTTGCTCAAAGCACGTGTAGGTTTTGGAAATTAGGAGATGGAGCACAGTGAAACCTCTCTATAACGAAGCAGAGTCTGGGCCATAAATCAGTTCGTTACATCCGATATTCATTCGATAGTAAAAGTAGATATAAGGGTATACAGGCTCTAACAAATCGGCTATCTGTCTCGATAGAAACTGCCTTCGTTGAATGAAAGAAAGTAAATTTGAGGCCTCGTTTGTTTTGTGAGACACAACATCAGTTCCAACCAACACGCAATCAAGTCAATTAATACATGCGACGAGTTTATTTGTAGCGCTTATTATATGAAACATGAGGAAAGGAAAGTGCATGAAAAACCAACTTTTCGCTGGCCGGTACCGAACCAGCCACATTCAAATAACGCGTTCAATGCTGTCTCCCATTGGACACGTAACGAAGGTATAGCAGGTTCGGTCCCGAACTGTGAGAAGTTGTTTTTTCATGCACCTTCCTTTCTTTACGTTTCATATAATAATTACTACAAGTAAACTTGTCACATGCTTTCCTTCGCTTCGTTGCCCTGCCTTGGCTCGATTGTATACACGTGTCGCTGCGATTGCCTTTCTTCAACGCCAGACAAGTGGCGCCCCCTTCGTCACAAGACAAAAGTTCAGGGAAAGATTGAAGATGTGAAAAATTGCTGAGCACGAGGTGTGGGCGGGAGCGGACGCTTCAACAAGCGGACTTGTCATCTTCAAGGCGACCGCTGCCCAACTTAGAGTGTGCATATTTACCTTATAGCGCATGTACGGGCTGGAGGTCAAATATTTCCAGGCCGCTATCCCATGTATTTCAAAGAAAGCGTGGCCTGAGAACTTTTGACCAGGACTGTACGTGTTCACAC